TGGGTGTGTGGGGGGGGGGGGGTGCAATAATGATGAACAATAAGAGATAGCAGTTGATTTATAATAAGATATTTTTGTGGTAATTAATTCTAACATTTGTAACTTTTTTTCATTATTTTACTTTTCCCTGCCCTTAGAACTAAAGGTTAGTTTTTTTTAATTGTTATTATCGCTCGACTTCTTTTAATTAACCACATAGGTTGTTTGGATGGTGTAAATAAGATGTTTTTAATATGCTTTTATATTTATATAATAATACATTTATTTGACTAATATCTGCTGCAGTTTTGTTCATATGATTCTCATTTCAGACAATATATGATCATTTTTTTGAGCTCATATAAATATTTAGCATGCATGATGCATATGCAATTATGGTTTGGTTGAACAGTTTTTTTTGCATCGTGCATCATGTCAACAGACTTATAACACACATTTTTGACAGGACACAAAAACCCTTGTCTCTGGTTTGATGAGAAATGTCTGTTTTAAAAGGCAGTCAGACCTCTTTGCATAAAGTTAAGACGGATCTTTGTACTTTTTCCGTATGCTTCCGGGAATAGAAGCAAATTCTCACCCAAGATTAAAACAAGTGACAAGAGAAAGACCTTTCAAATAGATTAAAAAAAGATTTCACTTTTTTTTGTGTAGCAATAAGGTATCTCCATTCTTACGATTACAAAGCCTTCTCTCTGGGTTTTTATGTTTTAGTGCAGGTTTTATATTTGAGCGCTCTAGCTGAACTATGCAATATGTAGGAACTTTAAAATCCATTGATTATTTCTTCTTTTTTATGAACTTTTAAAAAGCGAGAGCTTATTATTATTTTTTAAACTTTCATATCATTCCAATCAATTTTAGGTCATTTTGGGTCGTGATTAAATATGCAATACCCCAGTGATCTAAATAAATAGCTCCACTTTATTAATGCATGGCATATAAGTAAGTAGGAAAATAAATAATTCTAATAACCTATAACTCGGCTCCGATCCAATGCAAAGTACCAATCAAAGTATTTCCTTGGGTTAAGCAGTCAATATTGCCCAGCTGCTGTGCTATAGCAGCAGATGAAGGGAGAATAATCAGTGTGAGGCTTGTTTTACTGCAGGGGGAGTTGCAAAATGGTGTAAACGGGCTGGGAGAGGCGTCTCGCTTTGTTTCTATGACTAGTTTTCCCCTTCGAAGACTTAAGGCTGCATTTGCCATTCTTTTTGTGCGAGATGCACTCAAAGGTTACATCGTGAAAGTGGTTGATGCTCTCAGCTACAACAAACAGCTATTTAGAAGAAGAAGAATGAAACAAAAATAGGGTTTGAAGACGAGAGTGTGTGCATTCAAATGAAGGCATCTACAAGGCTTCCGTTTTCAATTATGAGCATGCCGACATTCCCCAAAGTTCCTCTGCTGTTCTTTAAGATGGAACATGTGGGTGTGTTTTTTTCCCTCGTCAGAAGATGCGCTTTGTTTGTGGTGCTCGTTTGTGAAATAATGTGCAGACAAATGCTAACGATTGCTGATCGGTTAAATCAGAAATGACACGAGATATGACACGTATATATTTTAAAACCGAATGATCTGTCAGCCTCCTTTTTAGAAATATCAATTCCTACATTTGCGCTTTATTTTAACTACTTTTGTTTGTGATCTAAATAAAAAGAAATTTAGAATAAAATTTCAAAGTGCAAATTCATGACTAATTATTCTTCCCAAAAATAAATAAACAGAGGGTTTGGGGAGAAAGAGATTTTTAGTATTATTTCACATAGGTACAAGGATTTAAAAAGGAAGGTAGTTGTTAGAATTTATATATTTTTCTTCATTTATCGACAAAATGATGATGGCTTTAAATGTTCTGTTCACATATATTTTATGTATATTTTTATTTTATGTATGTATGCATATTTAAATATATATGTGTTATTTTATAACTTTTGAACAGAGATTTTAAAACTATAAACTTCATATATCTATAAATAAATGTTTCTAAATATTTTGCATGGTGCAAATTAGTACACATTTTCAGAATGAATCATAAATTGTTGACTGTGATAAAACTCGCCGAACAAACTTTATTTGTTCATGTCCTATCCTCCAGGATTTGACCGCATCCTCTGCTAGAAATTCTGACACAGCATTGCATCACAAAATGCAGTTCTTGGATAGCAGTTATTTTGCTGTTTAGTTTTCCCGTGGCTCGCCTGCACCTTTCCCTGCTCTCATCCTCCCGAAGACTGCCAGCCCGCAGGAAGAGCGAACAGAGGGAAGCAAAGGGCTCTTGGTAAACGCTATCTCAGTGTGTTTTCTTTTTCTCCTCCGCACCACCAGTGTGTGTTTAGTTTGGAGGGTATTTGAAGAGGTCGGGTGTGTTTGTAAACATGCCATACTCGGCTTCTGCGCTCGCTGAATCGGAGGTGGCACGCTCTGAAGTGTTGGGTGTGTGTGTGTTTTCTTTTTTGGACACGGCATTTTTTTTCCCAACTGCGTAGCGGAGGAGAGACAGGGGAACGAGCCCAAATCTGATGGCACGCCAATCGTGTCGACCTGGGTGATGAATTATTCTCTGTCTAGCTCCCTGGCTTGGTATTATCACAGGGTGTGCCAGAGAACAGGGCTGACAGCAGTGACAGCCCCCAGAACACATTTCCCTCTGACAACTGATACTTTCCTAATATGCTCCGTGCCTCTGTCTTGTACTATGGTCCGCCATTCTACACTTTTTATAAATTTAAGTGAAAGGGGGGCTTTTGCTATTGTATCCGAGGGCTCCGGTTCACTCAAGCCACAGTAGAACTAGATTACACACACACACGCTCACACACGTCCTCTCTTTCCGTGACACACACGCTCGCTCTCTTGCTTTAGTATATCACCTGGTGTAAGTATTTTTGTTTCGTTTGCTGATCCAACAGGGGGCTCTCGTGCTTTAGAAATGTGTGATTTTTCAAGTCAAGTGAACTAATGCTTGTTTTTTCTCTCTTTCTCCCCTTGCCCCTCTTCTTTTTCCTTCTCAATCTCTTCACTTTCTCTCTTTCTCCTCTTTCTCAACCTCTTCCCATTGCAGAAAAGGTCACGTATTGCCTACAGTGATGAGGTGCGGAACGAGCTCCTGGGGGATGATGGGAGCTCCTCGGAGAGTCAGGTAGGGTGTTAATCAGCGGCTGTGCTTTCCCAGTGTGGGTGGCTGCTCGGGGTGAGGACGGGTCAGGGCCACGAGGGGCAGAGAGAGGCAGGCATTGGCACCCAGTCATGCAGAAGCAACACTGTTTAATGCAAAGCTGCCCAATGCTGAATGGGCTTTAGGCGCTAACCAGTGTCTGGGCAGCACCAGATTGGGGTAAATTCCCGCTTTCTCCCAGCTGTTCACCATCCGCCTCAGTCCTTATTCTTCTAAAAGTGGCTCCCCCCAAATCAAAAAAAAAAAAAACCTGCAGCTTTCAAAGTTCCCTAAACTGAGGGTGGAGGGAAAACTATGTAAATTAAAAATTTTTTTAAATAAATGTTAGTATTTCACATAGATATAAAGATATATATAAATCTTCAGATATCGGCAAGAAGTTGATAGCTATAAAGGTTCTGTTCTGTTCATTTAAATAATAATTTCACGCACACACACACACACACGTATACATATATTTATATGAGTTTAGATTGTTTATTTATATATAAATAAATGTGTGTATGCATGATAATTAAATATTTAAAAAAAAATCTAAATATCTGTAGCTGTAACAATTTAAATTACATATAATTTAATAACAATTTAAATAAATAGTATGTGTGTATATGTAATATATGTCATGTTGTGTGTGTACATATATAAAATATAATATAATGTCACATAATATTATATATGTTATATATGAATATATTTATATTTATATATTTTATTATATTATATTCACACTCATATACTCTAAAGTGGAATATAACATTTTCCATTTTACAATTTTATCACCTACACAGTTGTTTTTAAAAGGTAGACCCCACAGTACGTTCCTTTGAATAATTACTGCATTTAATTTATCATTTTGCTATATTTATCGAATATGCCACATGTCAACATACACTCCAAGTGAGTATATCCACAGGCACCTTGTGAAAGAGCCGTGAGATCATTCGTAACTGCTAAAGTTTTTTTTTTGTTTTTTCCCTG